CATCATCATCAGGAGCTGCAATTACAATGATAACAGTAGCAACAAAAGTGTAAAATGAATTTAAATTGACTCAACTTACAGTAGAATGTGAGGATGTTGCTAATTGTTGTTTACGTATAGGATGAGGGAAACGTCCAGTAACATGGTGAGAGCTGGATAGATTGTACAATGGTCAAAATTATATAAAATATGACAAGAACAAGTTAAAAACAGATTAAAAATTATTTAAAAAACATTAGAGCATTACATCGTAAAGCCACTTGATGATTGCACAAATTAGTGGTCATGGAATAATAAGTGAGATGAAATCCTTTGACAGAAGGCCGAAGGATGTCAATGTCTGTGTTGAAAGATGGAACGAATTGTGGGCGTGTGCCAAACGTTGCCAAATCACTTCAGATGATGTGATTTTCAGAATTTTATGTAAGAATTTGTTAAACCGACCAGAGGCAGTTGAATAAACTATATTTTAATTAATGGGAATTTAAATTAACAATTATTAATAAATCGTGACCTCCAGATCTCTTAAAGGAAGGATTACATCACACAAAAGTGATGCTAGGCTTCATCCTGAAAGATGCGCTCTAGCATCTCATGTTAACACAACAGGGCATTCTATGAATTACACAAGTATCAAAGTTCTTGATAAAGAAAAACACCTTTCCAAACGTTTATTCCTGGAAATGTCCCACATCTTCATGAATAACAACTGTATCAACAAAAAGACAGATGTTAAACAACTGAGTGTCATTTACTCATATTTGCTAAACTGCGAAAAATTGGAGAACTTACATATCTCCCCAAATTTCGACTCTTCACAACCATAATTAGAATCTGTGTTTTGGCCGATTCCACCAGTAAATTTCATTCCACTCAAAATATAATAATTCTCTTCTCACGATTTATTAATAATTGTTAATTTAAATTCCCATTAATTAAAATATAGTTTATTCAACTGCCTCTGGTCGGTTTAACAAATTCTTACATAAAATTCTGAAAATCACATCATCTGAAGTGATTTGGCAACGTTTGGCACACGCCCACAATTCGTTCCATCTTTCAACACAGACATTGACATCCTTCGGCCTTCTGTCAAAGGATTTCATCTCACTCATTATTCCATGACCACTAATTTGTGCAATCATCAAGTGGCTTCACGATGTAATGCTCTAATGTTTTTTAAATAATTTTTAATCTGTTTTAAACTTGTTCTTGTCATATTTTATATAATTTTGACCATTGTACAATCTATCCAGCTCTCACCATGTTACTGGACGTTTCCCTCATCCTATACGTAAACAACAATTAGCAACATCCTCACATACTACTGTAAGTTGAGTCAATTTAAATTCATTTTACACTTTTGTTGCTACTGTTATCATTGTAATTGCAGCTCCTGATGATGATGGCAAAGTCCATTGAAAGCTAGAGAGAATTAAAAAAGTATAAAGAGTCCTCTTTGCTTAAATTTTGTCGAAGTACCCAACAAAAGGCGGAAGCACCTATATATATATATATATATATATAGGTGAAAAATTAAAGCTTCCGCCTTGGTTTTATTTTAATAAAATTTTGTATAAGTACTTAATGAAGCATAATAAGTAAATGATAAAAATTTCAAAATGATTGCACTGCTTTAAAGCCCTTTGACCTTTAATAATGTGTGGATGCACCCTGATGTGCTACGCATTCTCCAACGCGCCTAGGCATGCTTCTGATCAGGTGGTCAATGTCCTCCTGTGGTATCTCATTCCAGGCAACCACCAACTCCTCTCGAAGTGCTTCTAGAGTCTGAGGAGGACGTTGCAAATTGAGCACTCTCCTACCCATCATATCCCACACGTGCTCAATGGGGGATAAGTCGGGAGATCTTGTTGGCCATGGTAACAATGTGACATCATTATGTTGAAAGAAGTCTATTGTGACTCTTGCAACATGTGGTCGGGCATTATCTTGTTGGAAAGTTGGATCTGCCAGGGTGTCAAGATAGGGTAAAAGATGGGGTTCTAGAACTTCGTGGATATAACGCTGCGCGTTCATGTTACCTCTGATGAAGATTAAAGGTGACCTGGAACCATAAGCTATAGCACCCCAAACCATAACTCCAACAGTGTGATGAACATGTCTTTCAACAAAAAACTGTGGATTCCTCCTTTCACCACGTCGCCTTCTAACCCTGGCACGACCATCGTGCATGCCTAAACAAAATCGAGACTCGTTACTAAAGACAATACTGTTCCATTCCTGATCCCAGAGTGACCGTTGTCTGCACCACTCAAGGCGATTACGTCGGTGTTCTCGAGTTAAAGGGAGGACCCAGTGTGGCCGGTATGAAAACAAGCCAAAACTTCTCATTCGTCGGTAAACACTTCGCATGCCAATAGGTCTTCCGTGTTCTGCAAACCATTCATTTGCAATGGACCTGGTAGTGGAGAAACGGTCCCTTAAGGCCAATAATCTTAGGCGGCGATCTTCACGGTCTGTTGTTTTACGGAGGCGTCCAGTGCTTCTTGCTCTTTGCGTACGGCCTTCTCGAAGCCCTACCTGACAACACCTAACCACAGTGTTTACACTTCTTTGCACTCTAACTGCAATTGCCCGAAAATAAAGTCCAGCTTCCCGAAGTCCCACTATACGGCCCCTATCAAACTCACTAAGTTGACGAAATCATACAGGTCTCCGTACTCTAGGCATCGTAACCGATTGTAAAGGATGTCAAGAACCAAAATCCGCCAACGTTGATTCTTTACTGCGGCTGAAATATTCATTTCTAGAGCGTTAGTGAATTAAAAGAAAACAGTATAAAAACCGGAATGTCCAACTGATAAGGCTGAAAATTTTTTCACTTGTTATTTACAGTAAGATAAATACATGCACCAACTTTTATTAAAATAAAACCATTTAAACTGGGTGTTCGGATTTATATGTCACTTAGTATATATATATATATATATATATATATATATATATATATATATATATATATATATATCATTTATTCGCACATTGTTTATTTGTTCAGATGTTCTATTAGTTATAGGTCTAAGTGATTTCAAATATGTATTTTTTACGACTAGAGTGAATCTAGAATGTTTTTGAGAAAATAAATTGTTTTAGAAGTAAATAGTTTCATCATGTTCAGTAGATCATGCTTGTAGTGTAATTTAATGAGGTTACTTGATTTCATGAGGTACAAAACGTTGTTGACAGTTTCACACCAGAGCTCCAAAGATATGAGGCTACCGTCTACGGACTGGCTCACTGCTGCAATCTGAGGGATTTATTTTCATGAAAATCCGATATGGTGCACTAATGTTTCTGACAAAATCCGCGTCTATTTGATGCCAATGCACTACATGTAAAATTGTACTAGATGTGGGAACTATAGAGTCAATTTACTTGACTCAATTCGGTAATAGACTTCTTACCTATGCCTAAGCTTACAATTGCAATGTTAAAAGCGAGTTTAAAAATTTGTCTGAGTAGAATTGAAATATATTTTTGATAAATCATGGAATATATAAGGCTAGTGCAAAAATGCTGATAAACTCTCCATAAGATCTAAGATCGATTATAAGATACCTAGACGTATAATACCCAGCTGCGTCCACTGGCGATTTCAATGCCTGATAATCCTTATCGCAATCTGGTAACACTTGGCCGACCATGTGTGCTATTTTAATTCAACAATAATTGTGTCTGGGCTTGGTAGCATCATTGTACGAGCTGCAAAGGTGAAGGGACTGTTAAGTAGTCGCTTCTCTCATCATACAAAATGAAACAATCTACATTGTAGGAAGGGTTTTGAAACACGTATGCAACATTTTTTTATTTTCAAAATTTCTTTAATGCTGTTGAATATATTTTATATTCATTCTGTTTAATTGGATGTTTTTGAAAGTTGCATATTGGAAAGGAATGACAAAATAAACTTTCGCGTCTAATATCTAGGTGTGTATAAAATATTCTTATATTCAATTGTGTCCATATCCAATCGACTTTTAGCAAACCTTGAGATATTTTGACAGACGTTAAAAGCTCGAAATTATTTTATTAGGTTTGCAAACAAAACTCTCGTATAAAAACAGTAATAAATATGCTTTAATCTTTAGTATATTATTGTCTGAGATACCATGTGTCACAAAATGTCTGTCATATGATAACTTTGGACATCCGATTAAGGTTAGGACGTTGGTCTACAATTGTTTTACTGATGCTGCTTTGTTGTTAACGGTTATACGTAATAATTTTCATGATTAAAGTCAATATAAATGGAAAATTTATATTTATGAAAAAATAGTTGACAACCATTGACGACTATTGGTATATGATAGCTCTAGCTATATTTCTGCAATAAAACATAAATCTTGCATTTTCTGATCAGGCTGTGATAAATATTAATGTATTAACGTGCAATAACGTGTTGCATAACATTTGTTTGTCTCCATCCTGATATCTTGATTACCTCTTTAGAGCTTTCTTTTTAATTATTGTTATCATTTTATTACTCTTCCGCGAATCACCTGAGAATCTGTGCGAGAGAAATTCCAACAATTTCTAATGGATGATCTTGCGTGAAGACGGTAACAACAGGAAATGTTATGTTTTTATTTTTCCTCACTAGTAACCTGAAAAATTGATATGACTCTCATTTCTCTAATGAGAACTATTAATTATAACAAAAACGCCCACTATAATAGCGCAGTTTTTCTTAGCCATAGAAGGCCAATACTTTTCTAGAAATGATTTTCTTATTAGAATTTTCATAGTTTCTTTGCAATACTAGTGCTCTACAACTTTGTATAAAAATGAGTAAGACTAACCCCACAATATATCGATCTTACACCCAAGGCGTCACGGTCTATAATGCCTAATAATTCTATATTAAGAAATATCTGTTTATACTACAAATATACTGCTGCCTCCATAGCCTCAATATATGTATTTCCTAATAAGCATATGCATCGTCCACTTCTCACAATATCGCACTCTTGTTCCAGAATGATCCAAATTCAAGTCAATTGCTTCGACTATGGAGGCTGGTGAGTCGCCACCTTCTTCAGAGGACAAACTCTTAGGGAACGAAGACCAGGAGGCGGATGAAGTGGACAAGGACACCACGATTCACCCTTTCAACATGTCCAATGTGACTGTCATCGAAAACGTATCGGGTGCTGGCGCTGGATCAGGTGGGGCAGATCAAAAGTTGACAGGTTTGTAGCTGTTTCCATAATGCCACCAAAAGCATTCCAACGGTAATTCGACTTCAACTTGATATCGCCTTCTGTTCACATTCAGTTGAATTTATTGCTTATACATACAGGGTGTTTCAAATTCGACCCTCACCATTGGGCTATCGGATACTGTAAGCCGCTTAAATGGGAGCAAAGTTGCGTATTTAAGGTAATCAATAAAATACCGATTAGAGAGTTTCGAACCTCAAAGTACTTCTGGAGAGAGTCGGAAAAAACCGAAATTTCCGAAAATCGTTTTAATTATTTTCGGCCTTTATTTGTAGTGGGATTCCAAAGTAAATTGCACATTAACATTGCCACTTTTTCTCCTCTTCAAGTTGGCATAATTAGAATATCAATATTTAGGCAGCAGCGGGGGCCGCAGTAGTAGACTCTCCGGTCTCCTGATCAGTCGCCGTGCTCTGTGCGGGTTCGAATCCCGTCCCAGGAGACATTTTTCTCTTGGTTATGGATGTCGTGATTGTCCGTAGGTGGTAGACGGTCTCCAGAATGTGTGCATGTCGCATGCACACGTGTTCCGTCACCAGAGTCCGTGTGGCGTTCCCCCTTTCCCCTGTATCCCCCTATAGCCCCACGGTACCCAATGGGTGTTTAAGCCTTAGGCCTTCGTGGTAGTTGGAGTATATAAAAAAAATATCAGTATGACGTTTTATTTCTTGTCCTCCAGAATCAACTTTATTTTTCTTATGGGCGCCATATTGGATTTTCGCACAAATCGGGGTTTTAATTCTGATTTCAAAAATGTAGAAAACGTTATACATTAACATTGCTAAACCTTAGTTATTTGACAAAAGCAGAATTTTCTAAGTAGGCCGTGAAATTATCAGATAGTCATATGTTTCGCCCACCAGATTTATCTCAAAATCACTTTAATTTTTTCCTGATTTTATTTGAGATGGGATTTCAAATTAAATTGCATGTTGTCATTGTCACTGATTCTTCTCTACAAGATGACATAGTCAAATTTTTTATTCGCCATTCCATCTTTCGAGTTCCATCACCAACTTCGTGTTTTCACAAGGACGCTATAATGTTGTACTTTTCCTTAGTTGGCCATGGATTTGTTGTTGGAGGAAAATTATAAGGGAATAAAAAGTCAACGTGAACACAAAATGAAAATTTTATTGATTGTAATAACAATAATCCTAAAGAAGCAGAGGCAAATCATAATAGATGTTTAAAATGCTGTGGGTTATTTTGTCGGAAAAGCCTGACTGTTCTCTGTGCATTATTCACTGCTCGATTCATTTCTCTTCTTTTCAGTCTCCCAAATTCTGTTGCTATGTTGAATTTGAGGTCTGGTCTGATATACGAAACAACTGAAATCTGATAAGTTCAAGGCCTACCTAGGAGCTTCTGTTTTTCCGAAATAACTAAGCTTTGGAATATCAATGTATGACATATACATTTTTGAAATTAGAGTTAAAAAGTCTATTCATCTGCGATAAAATCCAACATGGTGTCCATAAGAAAAAATAAAGTCTATGTTGGAGAACCAGAGGCGAAACGTCATATTGAAATTCTAATAATGCTATCTTATAGAGGAGACAAAGTGACAATGTTAACGTGCAATTTATTTGGAATCCACTACAAATAAAGTCAAGAAGGAAAAGAAACGATTTTAAGAAGAAGAAGATCGGTTTTTTCCGTCTCTTTCCGGGAGCATGTACTCTGAATTCCAAAACTTTCTACGCGGGATTTTGGTAGTTACCTAAATAGGCGACTTTGTCCCCATTTAAGGCACTTCGTATCTCTTACTGTTTCGAGATCCCAATTTGAAACACCCGGAATACTAATTAAGAAAAACTGAGACGTTTTAATATAATTTGCAGCATTGGGTATATTTTCAAATAAGCATCAGCTAATCTTGGATGATTGAATTTTAACTTTGCCATTTTTCATGAACTACATTTCTGGGATGAAGCAAGTAGCCATTAATTTTTTAGCTTTTGTAGGATCTTCTTGTGTAGTGTTGATTGTTTTAACCGATTCTATATCATGTCAGAGACGAACAAGCTATGCAGGTTTTGAGAATCGGTACAGAGGCGATACAGTTGTGATAAAAAAATGAAGGACATTAGAACATCCACATTTCCGGACTTATCAATTTTGAAAACCATGGTCTTTTATGCGTTTTTATTTTTTAACTTATTACAGATGGTCCAGATCAAAAAACAAAGAAAACCTCCCAATGCGAAGGCAGCGACAGTGGCGTAGAAGTGGTTGAAGGGATCGAGTGCATCTACCAGAGGAATTTGAGCTCAAATTCTGGAGCTTCACAGGATTTCAACTACGCTAGGTCGTGCGATTCTTCTATTCTGAGCTACGAGGAGGCTTACAACATTCTTTTGAGGAAGAATTCTACGCTGCTGGAAGACTACGGAAGGAATGAGGATGTTACGAGTGAAAATGGTGTGTATTGTATCTGGAAAATCATAGATAGAGTACCAGAGTACCGTGGCACGTGACAACTAGGTGTATAGAGAGATTAAAAAACAGTGAAAGGATTTCCGTCATTATTTTCACTTTCTAGCTCTAAATTTCAGCATCTCGGCATTTTCCTAGCAACTGTTGATCAAAAATCATATTTTCAATAAATTATGTAAAGAACGTTTCTCCAATAACGACAGCAGCTTAAATGTTTTCAATCTTCTGAAATAATTGAGCAATAGCGAGTGCCAATTCTAGAGCATCCTGTATGAATCATTGAATATCTCCAACAAATACAGTTAAATTCCAAATACGCAGTCGGGATTTAGAAAAAATGATCTTAAAGTGACTGCATTAGTTGACATTTGTTATGACTATAGAGAGCTATAGATAATTCCTGCGTAACAACAACTATTCAGTTTCTTGGTTTTTCTGAGAACTCGACTGTATGGTTTGAGAATTATACTTCGGAGCGATCTAAACAAGCTAAAATAGGCAGTGACTATTCTGAAAAACGAGTCATTGTGAAGGGTTCCATCATAAGGCTGATGCTATTTACTTTATACGTGTCGGGCTTGGATCGGTCGGCTGAATATTACGCCTTACTTTCTTATGCCGATGATACGCAGCTTTATCTATCTTACAATCCCTCCTCAAATGTTGATGGTAAAGTGATTGGTTTAGAGACGACGGGATACACGTAAACTGTAGCAAATCGGCCATAATTACCTTCCGCTCTAATCAGAACCAGATCAGTGGATATGCTTTAAAACTCTGTCTCAATAATGAATAGCTCACTCAAAACATCGGTAAAAACTTGGGAATAATTTTTGATGAGCACTTTTCACGATCATAAATTATTAAAGTTGTTCAAAGCTCTTTTGATTAACTAAAAAGCATCTACAGCTATAATCATGTGTTGTCTCAAGAAACTAAGATTAAGCTTTGCGATTCATTCACTTTAAGTAAAATAGAATATGGGAGTTCTGTGTTTGACTCAAGCCGAAACTTATAGAGTTCAGAAGATTCAGAACAGTTGTGTTAGATTCTGTGGGGATACGAAGAAGAGAGCGAATATCTCCATGTACACCAGAAGTGATTTGGTTGACGGTAAGGCAGAGGCAATAATTCCTCTTTTCGTAGATAAGTGCCGCATAGTTCCCTCTAATGCATCATAATTCCCTCTGATTCCTACAAATTCCCCGGTATTCCTGTCAGGAATTACTGGGAATTGAAGGGAATAAAATGATGGCTGCTTGTATCATAAAACAGTTTTATATGATTAGTTAAATCCTTCTAATCAATTTTTTTAGATTTTAATATACCTATGAATTGAAACACAGTTATACCATAGATGTTTCTAATGATAAATAAGTACTTCTCTTATGAATATATGGTTCCACGTATTATAGGGATCATGACTAATGTATGATGTAATGATGTCTAAATCCTCTTTAGGAGTATTTAGGGCATTCCATTTCAAGGTTTCATTCTTTATCGCACAAAAAATTATCATAGAGTACATACATGTGGATATTTGGCAATGGCATATTTTGTCCTACAGAATGTTAAAACTTTCGTTTCGTTTGAAGTTTTGACAAATATATGTTTATACTCCTAAAATTTCCACGGTAAACAGAGCTTGTTTGAAAAAACTAAAATGAAAACAATATTTGATTTTTATGTGTAACCCCCTGTAGAAGAAATATAATGCCCTTACATATACATATTAAACTTTTGTCAAGTAAGCTCAGGAATGGCACTCGCATGTTAGTAATTAGGTATGCCTACCACTTGTCATTGCATTTATGTCAACTAAAATAACGACATGTTAGAATAAGCTTCTGTTAGAACATTAACTAAGCAAATCAACTATTTGTGTTAAAACTGGAAAACAGTTGGTAATCACGGGTTGTTTATTTTGAAATTGCTCTTTTTCTCCTTTGACGTTCGGCTCTGGCATATTTGTGGAAAGACTCTTTTTGATCGCTTGTTGCGCAAACATTCAGATCGTCTAGTCAGTTTCTCTTTGTCATGTAAATCAAGTTTAAGGTCTGGAGTAGGATCAAGTTCAATGTTTTTGAAAGACAATGTCTGCAAAAATTTTTACGCAGTATATCTGCACGGGGAAACCTTTGACAAAGGACTCAAACTGCGTCAAGGCCGGATTGACTGCCTGAAAAGGCGAGAATGTTTTCAGAAAACAATTTGTATTGCTCCAAACCCTTAGTCCGCGCCACCAACGATATCTCAGCAGCCATTAGCAACCGCATCCTGTCGAGGCAATGTTGCTTGATAACAGCAAGTATCGCCTCATTTAGTGAATGATTGTTGCGCCCAAGTTCAGAGGCCATGCGGCGGTCATGAGACGTGAAAGGCTTTCCAAGTCCATCACAAACTGGATACGGGATGCTTCCTTGCGAGCCAACTAAACTTTCGCTTCCATCTGGCGCACGCGCCGCTGTGCTCTCGGGTGTAGAGGTTTCTCCTTGGGTTGGGAACAATGGAGTGAAGGTCTAGGGTGGTAGTTAGCCACCCAAGACCTCGACCGACATTCAGATGGGAAAAAGTGAAATTCCCTTCCGGGGTACACCTATATAGGCTGCCGGCCATTAGTACCCCCTGGCATCGAATTTACCCCTGCGGTGTCGCCACGCACCGGATAGCCTATTGACCTTAGTCGGCTTCCTGCGGGGTTACTCTTTTAGTCACCTCGTACGATAGGCAGAGTTTATCGCGGAACGATTCTTTCTCCGAAACCCCACCCGAATATTATTAGTATTATTATCATTATTATTATTATTATTATTATTATTATTGATTGATTGAGGAAGCTATAAATTAATTTCAGATAAATCCTGATATTTTTATTAAACTCTCGGATATAAAGTACGCTTATACCTTCTCGAATTCATCAATCGTGTACAACATTGTAAACCATTAGTGATTATTTGTCTCAAACCAGGTAGTGAGAGTTCTTCAATTAGCGGCCCGCGAACAACCAGACGTCTCCAAACAACAGTGAAGAAAAAACTTTCCCCCACTGAAGCCCGTAAATCCCTGACTATCCGAGACCGATCGAAAAGCAAACCTCCATCCAACCCTAAGACGTCCGTGCGCATAAAATCCATCGACAGAGTCCAGGGAAAGACCCAGAGCACGACCAAAGTGGCACCCACGAGGACCACCACGAAGCCCAGCACGCTGGAGCTGCCCAAGAAGGATACGAAAAGGCCTACATCGTCTTCTACGAGGACTAGTTCCACAGGGAGGGTGCCAAGTGCCACGCCTACGGATGATGGCAGGTGGCCCAGCATTCACAGCACACCAGCACCTCTTATGTCCAGGTAAATTTTCATCAAAGAGGCTGTTCCACAGGACATTTAAACCAAATATATATTTCAATTTCTCTTTACTGTACGACATTTCAGCCACCACGATGGTTTTTTTCGAGCACAATAACAATAAATGGTGGCCGAAATGTCGTACAATAAACAGAAATACGTGATTTGATTCGGTCAGACAACGGAGTCTTATGATCATGAAAACAAAACCTCAGTATAAGTTTCAGGAGTTAGATAAAGAGTTAGAAGTTCTAAACTGAATTAAAAATATTTCTTATTGGAAATAAAGCGCCAGAAATGTAAATTTTCGTCTTATAGTTTGTGTTATCCAAATATTCTCCACCTCGTTGCTAGCAGCCATTCTTTTCTTCGCATTTTGCAGGTCACCTCAGATATTTTAAAACAGCGATTTTCTTGAAATATTGGCAACAATTCTGTTGTGGACATGCCCCTACTGGAAATATAAATAGCAGATGTACTTAGACCAAAATCTGCAGTTAATGAAACGTGGAAATAGTGGCCTTTATTTTGATTCAAATGATTTTTTTTTACTTTTTGAATGTAGATCCTTGAAGGGCCATATTGACACTACTATAAGAGGAAAGCTGAGTCAAACAGACACAAAAACGATAGAAAAATACGCCACGTTGCCTAGGAGAAGCAAAGAGAAGACCGAAACTCCAAAAAAAACTTCTAGTAGAGAAAATCTACAGAGGATTGCTGTGACGAGAAGGAGCTCTCGGTAAGATCACGAAAGTTTTGATGATGATATCTACTATAGTAGGAAGGCACGAAAGTGTTCTAAGTCATCCAAGCAAGCAATTCCAGTGGCGTAGACATTGTCGCTTGAACTATTGTTTTTTTTTGTCACCACGTGATATTTCTCATTTATAAAATTAATCCCCTGAGTCCAGGAATGGCTTACATTTGATAATTAATAATTATTCTGCAGGATACGCTTTAATCTTGTTTTATTTATAAAATATATAAAGGAAATCTAGATCATTTTTAATGGAAATGTATATCTCGCCACAGACAACTACGCTACTGGTTACCGTTTCGTATGCTTTCGAGATTCTTGATATTTTTTTAATTTTTTTTAGCGAATCACCATCAAAGTTATCGTCCAGCCTTTACCTGCCAAAGAGCAAACAAAAAGTACGGATATATCATGAACTCGGTGCTCAGACGGCACTAACCATGTCCGACTTAGAGAATGCCTTGGCAGGTATAGCTATCACTCCAAAGACACCAGTGGACAACGAAACTTTCGATAAGGAAGTCCACGTAGACTTGACCACGATAGAGATTAACAGGTTTGTGCAAGATTTTACTTGACGTATATGTTCTTAAATTGCAGAAAGGAGAGATCAAATAGAAGGAAGTGCGTTGAAGGGATGGGAAATTGGTTACAATTTGAAGTTTGTACCTGTTGAAAAATGTCTGTGCTATTGCACGGTTTAATTTTGTTCTCTGTGCGCGCCACGGTCTTGTATGATTTAAAATTACTTGGCTGTGTAGTATTGTACCTGACTAGGGATTTACTACTTGGCTTGATTTTCAAGCTAATTGACATGACTTGAACTCAAGTAAATATTCAAATCAACTATTAGATACATCTTAGCAATCTGATATCAAGTAGTTAATACCTCTGTCAGTCGAGTACTTGGAAATTCAAGTAGCCTTGATATTACTTGATAATTTTCGTATTATAGAGTAGATTATAAATAAAACAACGGAAAGACTTTATCACCTGTCTCAGAGGAAATAATACATATAGAACAAAATAATTTGTTCATCGTATAAAAAAATACATTTGAACAGCTGAAAAAATAAAAAATTCTAAATTAGTTTTCATTCATTTCATCATTTAACCACAGGTTAAGAGACATGAGGGTCCTAACGGATTTATAATTGTGGTAAAATTAAAAATAATGGAAGTGACAACTGTCCGGATTCTGTACTGTACTCTTATATCATAATAAGTTGTGACATTTTGTAAAAAACATGAAATTAGTTGTTGAGTTTTTTTTTTTGAAGAAGAATATTAATTTTAATTTGTTTTTAATTTTTTTTTTATTTATATATATGTGTCTACGACTTCGCGTGTTTGGTTTGGAAACACTGTTTGCATGCATCACTTGTGATTGCAGTATATGTCTTGTGGCAATTTTCGATTTTTTACTAATTTGCCATCAGGTAGTTTGAAAATGCCTTACCTCACGTCAAGAAGAAATATAAAAAAATCAAGTTAAGCCAAGCATTAACGTTTCAAGTAGGATATGACAGTATCAAGCTACTTGATGAATCCCTTATCTGACACAACAGAGGGCTGCTGTACGATTCCACTTATGACTGAGAGAAACTTATTCGAATTCTGTGTTTAAAATTAATATCTGTGGCTGAATTGATGAGGTCCTGTTGCAGGTTGCAGCAAAGTTTGAGTCAAGTGACGGAGCAGTTTGAGACACTGAGGACTGAACACAAAGCACAGAAAAAGAGATTTAAAGAATTGGAGGAGAGACTGAGGGTCGAAACTTTGGAAAAGGAGGGATTGAAAGAGGAATTGAGGAGTAATACGGAACGGGTGATGGCTATTTTGGGGGGAGGAAGCGTAACACAAGGCCAAGGTATTTTTCAAAAAAGTGTTTCTATTATTTCAATGATGATGCGGCTTGATTTTCAGTCATGTGTTGGAAAAAAATTATCTGAAATTCGTATTTTGATAGACAGTGATATTTCTCGCCAAAGAAGTCAGCCAATAGAATTTGCTTTTATTCCGAATACCGATAGGACGTGACCATACAGTTCATGTCAAACTGTCAACATTAAAAAATAAAGTTTGTCTTCGTCGTATTTGACGCCAGTTTCATGTCCATGGCAGAAGTATGTATCACAAACTAGGAATAGTAGATTGAAAAACTTATTATGATACGTTAAAACCTCATGACGTCACAGCTTTGGTGTGAAATTTTACGTTTAAACTTCAAGTTTTGCCACATCGTGTTTATTGTTTCCTTTTGGTATTAAAAGCTTTATTAAATTCACATTTTTTAGACTTGATGACATCAAGTAGCGACAGTCTCATGGCCTTAGAGTCCCGTTTTCAAAATGCTCTGCAATCAATGGTTCATCAAGAAGAGGAGATCTCCCGACTTCACGCTTACTGTCGGCATCTTCAAATGGAGGTACTAAAGTATTTTTTAATGGTCCGGGATAAACGATCCTGGGTCAAACTTGCAAAAATGATGATATTTCTTTGCTAAATGCGTGTTTGAGAAATTTTGAGAATACAAAATTTTAGGAATAGTAGGTAGAAGTGAAATGTCACATTTAAGAATATACGATTTTCTTTGAAATGATAATGGCGCATGTGCGCCTATGTTACTTTCAAGGAAAATACTGCAATCCTATGTGGGAATATTATGATATTATAACTAAATGTTCATATATATCAGCAAGGGCTTTGGTAAAACTTGACACGGGTTGAGGGTTGAGTAGCAGCGTTGCCACTTAAACATTCTACGATACTTGGGCCGTACAATATGATAACATATATATATTTATAACAATGTAGGTGGACCGTGCGAATGCTCAGCGAGACTCGCTAATGCGTCACCAGCAGGAGGTCGAAGTCGAGGCCGCTGAGCTGCAGGAGTTCATGCAGGCCGAGAAGACGACGTTGCATGATGCGCTCAAAGAGGCTGAGACAGCATTGGAGAAAAAAGAACAGGAGTTAAGGGAGGCTAAAGAAGAATGTAAAAAGCTGGTAAGCTGAGTAGTTAGGAGAAGAATATGAATCGGTCAATGCCAACGAATTCGTACTAGGTTGAAGGGGCAAGTATACGATTTTTTTGTAACCAAAATTACGTAGACCCTAGTCAGGATGCAAGTTTTTACTACATACTGCGACTGTTCGAGACAATTACCGAAAATGAAGATGGTTTCTGTGGATTGGAAAAAGCAGTTTAAGTTGAGTAAGAGCAGATCTTTTATCGATAAGTGTTTATATATATATATATATATATATATATATATATATATATATATATATATATTATTTATAGTTTGATCTTTTACCTGGACGGTTATCAGGTAGTTTTGTTTATTTCATTTCATTTCTTGCTTCATTGAGCACTCAGTCCCAATCTAACGATTTTCACCAGAGTTGTGTACCTAAAAATTCAAAATATTGGGGAGAAATCAGTTATTTGTGGATTCTGAAAAGGGTCAAACGTGACTTCAATCTAACTAATCTTAACTAAAATATAGTTTTGCCCACTTGATTTTCGAATATAAAAGTTATTAGGAAAAGTTCTCTCGCGTTATAAGTAGTAATTTTACGATGTCATTTTAATGCCACGAGATTCTATGAAGAAAGCGCAGTATGCTCAAAAAAAATTTGAAATTCAAATTAATTAAAATACTAGATCTTCTTCTTATTGGATAACTATATTGACAATAACATAATAGCAGAGGAACTTTGCTGCTCTACAACTGTTAGAAAAATGGCGTCAAGTAGATTGACTATGCACTTCCCACGCTACGCTGTAATCAGTTTTTAAAGGATTGACGCAAATTAGATCATTTGAAAAAAGTTAGTTACGAACGTATATAAGAGATAAACTAAACGGATCATGTCAATCAAACAACGTCGACTCTCCCCAATGCCTGACCGTACAACGCGCCAGACGGGGCAGTAAGGCAAGAACACTTAGCAATTTCCGCACACTCGCAGGTTATTTCAAAAATGGCCATGATACTCTGAAATGTCAAAAATAAGGAAGTTTGGGCGATTTTTATTTTTCTCGTTTTTGGCCTTTTTCTCCGCCGCCACTTTACCAATTTTCAAAAACTGCAACGCTTTTTCATCCTTGGACAGACAGACAGACCGACAGGAACGGACAACGGAAATGAGTGACATGGTTTTTCGTGATGTACATACATATCATAATGTAACATTCAAAATCATGATATCTCATTTTCGAAATTTTTCGCTATTACAATACCGCCAACAGGCGTGAGATATAAGAACCGAGTAGAATCCATGCAGGATGTTGCTGTTTGTTGGAAAGGATGGTTCATATTTTTCTACTTCCAAAATCACGAATTAAGCAGTACTGATTATATTCTGTACCGTTAGTAAATGTTTACTTTTGTTTTTTATTTAATTTATCCCTGTTTATTAAATAATTGAGGGATTTGCATCGCAACACAGATATTGGTTGTCCTACTACGCGTGAGTACACCCAGTATGATTAGCTACAGAGAAAAGAATGTACGCTGTTAAATCGGTGTATCACTTTGGTAGGCAAATTAGCCAAAAGTATGCATTAAAGCTACACAATTTTGGCGACAAACAATGCAATATGACATCTACGCTTGGCTCCTTCTAATGTTCGAATTCGTTGGGCAATGCTGTGAAATACGCACCTTTCTAATACTGACTTCAGGGGGTCCAGTGCCATTTCACCAAACCACAAAAAATAGGAATTTCAAAAAATCTTTACTTCATCTTTTATCATCCCTTACAGTCTAAAATCAGTGAACAAAGAAGACAAGAAAGCGTAGGTCTCCAAGCCAGACTGGGCGTACTGGAATCCAAAAGCAGAGAATTGCTGGTACACCAAGGCAGCTCAGTTTCAGGAGCTTCGGTTGCACTATCGGCTCTCATTGGAAGACTGGACGGCTTGGTTGAAGAGCTGGTTGCAGCTTACAGCATTTCGGAACAAGAGCTAGAGGCGAGTTAATTTCTTTAACACAAATCTGTGAAATGTTACAAACTAAAAAATTAAGTATTTACTTACAGCATGGCGATTTTTTTTTTTTGACGAAAGCTCCCTATTTCGCTGCACCCGATACTACTGAGAGAACTCTGATCTTTGACTGATATTACTCAGAACTGAGCTTCAAATGGATAAGGATTGTTTTTATGATTCTTTTCGTCAATTTCATATATTTTTGAGAAGAATAAAGTGTGTTGCCCAGCGAATCTGTGCAAACATCAAAAATTACACTTATGAAAAGTCGATCACCTAACAGGAAATAAACATTGAATCTAGGATAATCTCTCCAAAGGCAGTCGAAGAGAGATAGTAACTAATTGCCATGCTATTAACGATCCATATTTAGCGGTACGCTCTTTTTATGCACTTGAATTTGATGCGAGCGACCTTCAGTACAATTGATTTCTCTCTCGTGACTATTTATTTATACTTGGATGGATATGAGCCATTTATATACGAGGTTCATGCGAAGAAAAATGACCCCGATCTTTTTTAGTCTGAATGAACTTTAATTCATATGTAATGAAAGAAGTTGAGATTCACAAACTTATACGTTGAAACTACATTCAATTCTTGAATTATACTGAATATGCATCTTTAAAAGAACATCATGATTTTGCCAGCCTCTTTGGAGTAATATGACAGGTTACATTGTTTTCGTGGCTTAGTTCAGTCTAATTAAACTGCTCAACTTATGTCCTAAAAATAATAATAATTGCAGTTTATTGTCCAACCGATACAGTCCCTTTACAGTGACAAGAATTGTATGAAAACAAAATAGAATTTTCACCAAAAAAATGGCGTCAAATAAAATTTCATCAAAATCCGAACGGTACCTTCCAAGTTATGAAGAGGTCAATGATCAGCGGACAGACAGACAGTCAGACGGACGGAAATGAGTGATATGGTTTTTCGTGATCTACATCTCATATAACATCAAAAAACATAACATTTCAATATCGAAATTTTTCGCGATTACGATACTTCCTCTCCAGTAGGCGTGGGAATTAAAATGAATATATATTATAGAACATTCCTAGCAGCTGACTTGACAGTGTAATGTTATCTAAGCTTGTATCATCATGGAGCATAAACAAAACTTGATAAAACACAAACGTCAGAGATCCGGATGGTAATAGAACGTGAAAAATTACACTTACGAAAACTCGATCACCTAACCGGCAATAGACATTGAATCTATGATATATGTAGATGATATCTCCAAAGGCAGGCTGAAGAGAGATAGTAACTGATTGCCATGATATTACCGAACCATATTTAGCGGTACGCTGTTTTTATGCACTTGAATTTGACGCGAACGACCTTCAGTACAATTGATTTCTTTCTCGTGACTATTTATTTCTACTTGGATGAATATGAAGCCATTTATATAGGAGGTTAATGCGAATAAAAATGACCACGATCTTTTTTAGTCTGAACGAACTTTAATCCATATGTGGGTATTTCTCAACAAATTTAGAAATTTCATTTTGCGTTTCTTAAAAAAAATAATGAAAATATATCCTTTTTTTGCAGAAATATAAAGTTTTACTTTAGTGAGGTTCATTGAAAATGAAGGTACTCCGTATTTTTGTGTATAACATGTAGAAACATGACTTAAAAAACTATGAAATAAGGGAATGACTGATAGAATGGGGGAATGATTTTGACAACAATTTGATGCTTAATTTCAATAAAAAACATAAGTTAATTTATTAATAGATACATTGAGATTTGTTTTATACTTTAAGGGCACATCCTCGTATTTTCATCATTCTCTAAGAAATCAACACATCACCCCTAACTTTCAGCAATTTGGAGCTAACTTTACGAGTACAGTTCATTTTGTATGTATCATTTTTGAAAAAATGTTTCGATCTATATAGCAATTTGTATCTTTATACTTATTGCAGCTTCAACATGCAATATTTTTTCTTTTCTCTATGTTTATTTCCAAGATCGTCATAGATATTCTTGAGGTCCGTTAGCAGTGCTTCTCCGAAAATGAGGTCTTTTCTTACAACTTCAGGAACTTGTATATTCTTTAAAAGCAAAGACACTTTAGTTGCTGGAGAGTTTGGGTCAGTATTTTTAGTTTTCAATCTCAAACACCTCTTCTTATATTTTTCGCTAAGCTTGACTGCGTTCCTTACTTTATTTTCCAAACTTTTAATCTTGGCGTACAGAATAGTTCGCCGCTTGCGTATTCTACGTCTATTGAGAGCAGACAAATTCTCTGCTCTGTGCTGTAAAGATGGTGGAGGACTTAGGTAGGGATTTGGTTTCAACTATTCTCTGTAAATTTTGTAATTTAACTCGCTTTTCCCTATAAACTTTACTATTCTTTTCTAATTGTTTTCGTTTTTGACTAGTTTCTCTTGTACTCGTAGGACTTATTGACTTAACTTCTTCTTTAAATACTTTAATCTTTCTTTTTCACGCAAAGCTTCTAGAGACTCAGCATTAATTTTCATTTGTTCTCGCCTCTTTCTGTCGTACTCCTTTTTTAATTTCTTTTCTTCTTCACTCAACTTCTTCATTTGCCCCATGCTTGATATACGGATATCTGTTAAAATTGAACACACATGCTATACATCCTGAAGTTAGACAATAAAACCACAATTTTATATATGCAACATTCATTCCCTCATATAATTTTCATTGCCTAACCTTCTAATATAGTGAGGGAGTGACCGCGAGGTAATGACGGATTTGCATAAACGACACCGTAACCAACAGTACATCACCTCAAATTGATTTAGCATTTTGTGAATGCATTTTACTCCCCAAAACAAGAAAAAAATCATTAAAGCGATCGAACAGTATAATGACTTACCTTTTAATATAAACAGTGAGGTAATGACACAGAGAAATGTAATGGTCTAATTATTGAAATTCAATACTTTTTTGCAGCAACTCTTTTCACTATTAAGAAATTCCGCATGTTGACATTATTAGCAGTATTGCCAAGTTTTAAGAACATAACAGCTGCGTTCAAATATATCAAATGGTGTGCCCACACAAATCGAATATTTATAATGGGTGAGGGAATGATTTCATTTCAAGGGACATAGTTTAAATAGATTTTTTTTATATACATATTTATTTTTTAGCAATGAAAGCTTGACAATACAATTCATACTTATTACCAAATATTTTAGTAATATTCAATCTATAAGAATATGAACAGATTTGATTGTATATATTTTTTTATTAGTAATTTCAGACCCAGGGACGACATGAGGAATGACTTAGACTAATAAATTAATCGTATTTTTCTGTGTCAATATATTATCTAAATTTTTGCTTTTAAAATATTAGTGAAGATACTTATTGATACAGGTTGTTTCAGATTCGATAGAACTTTTAAAATTAATGCATAAAGTCTATATAAACATAGGTCGAAAAATGCGTGGCTTCCGAAATACAGGGTGTTTAAATTTACTTTCTAAAATAGTTTTTTTTTAATATTTCGAACAATATTTGATGTATAACAGTGAAAATTGGTATACAAGCGTTTTTTGGTACGACAAAACGAACCATGGGCATCGTTTTACTGTAGCCGCTAGAGGGCGCTCTCTACTGTACCTGTATTGTATTAAAATGACCGAAATTTTTTTCTTCGTGCAATTTTTTGCTTTTTGATTAAAAAAACTGATTCTTCGCACTTTTCAACATAAAAAAGCTCTCTTGTGAATTTTCGTTATAGTTAGCCGTATTTGAGATATTTTGATTTTTAAGGTTCGATGCATTTTTAATTATTTATGATAAAATAACGTTAAAAAGTCAGTATCTCGATAATTTTTCGAAGTAGGCTGTGCCTGCAAATATTTTTGAAATTGAAAGCAGAATAAGGTTAAACGTCAATTAGTTGACAGTTAGTTTTGTTGTCTGTTGAAACCTGAAACGTTTTTTTCAATTGTGAATGCACGAAATTTAGTTTCTTTTACCTGTTTTTTTTGTAAGTTTTATAAAAATGACATTTTTATTCTCCAATCAAGAGTTAGCGGATAATCATTTTGTGTATGGCTTTGTAAATGGACACGCAGCAGAAGCAGCCACAGAGTACGCACGAAGATTTCCAAACAGACGACATCCAACTCGCTCAGTATTTGTAAGAGTGCATCGCCAATTAATTGAAAATGGTTTTGGAAATCTCCAAAGGGATCAAAACATAAATGTTCGTCAGCGCAGATTTACCCGTATGATTCTGCGTAAGTTTGATAGATATCCGACTACAAGTGTTAGGAGAGTTTCTGGTGCCTTGGGAATTTCAGCAAGCCATGTTCACCGTGTTCTTAGAAATGACCATAGGCGTCCTTACCATTTGCAACCTGTGCAAGGACTACAGCCAGGGGACGGAGAACGAAGAATCACATTTTGTCAGTGGATTCTTGATATGACTGATAATAATAGGGAGTTTTTAAGTAACGTTTTATGGACCGATGAGCCATGCTTCACTAGACGTGGAGTGGTCAATTTTCATAATCAGCATATTTGGTCGAATGAAGATCCGCATGCAGTTCGGGAAAGAAATTTTCAGCATGAATTTAGTGTAAACGTGTAGATTGGTATCTACCGTAATCGACTATTTGGACCCTACCTTTTGCCTGCAAGGTTAAATGCTGCGACCTTCTTGGAATTTTTAAAGGCTGAACATGCAAATATGTGGGATGATGTTATGTTAGATTTAAGAAGATTTGCCTGGTTCCAGCTTGATGGTTGTCCAGCTCATTACTCGAGAATAGTTAGAAACTGGCTGGACGAAAATTATCCAGAAAGATGGATCGGCCGTGGAGGACCAGTCGCCTGGCCTCCACGATCCCCTGACCTAAATCCATTAGATTTCTTTGTGTGGGGATTTCTAAAAGAAAAAGTGTACCAGACTCCCGTAACCACAAGAGATATGCTAATAGACAGAATCAGGAATGCATGTGATGAAATAAGGCCTTATTTGAATAATGCTATATACCACGTTCGATCATTCGTAGATGTGAATTGTGTATTGAACAATTGGGTTTACATTTCGAGCAACTACTTTAGATTTTGTATGTTTGTCCTAACTATCCAATAGCCTTTTAGTTGTAAATAATTAATTTAATTTGTTAAAAATAATATTGAAAAATTAAACAAATCAATATTCTGTTTTTTTTTGTGTTTATTTGGAGTTAGGAATTATTGCTGTGTTTAAAAACACAATCTAAACGATCATCTTAATTACGTGTAATGCCCAAATCGAAAATGTAAAAAAAATATTAGTTTCCCATAAATAATTAAAAATGCATCGAACCTTAAAAATCGAAATATCTCATAAACGGCTAACTATAACGAAAACTCACAGGAAAGCTTTTTTATGTTGAAAAGTGCGAAGAATCATTTTTTCATTCAAAAAGCAAAAAATTGCACGAAGAAAAAATTTTTCGGTCATTTTAATACACTACAGGTACAGTAGAGAGCGCCCTCTAGCGGCTACAGTAAAACGATGCCCATGGTTCGTTTTGTCGTACCAAAAAACCCTTGTGTACCAATTTTCACTGTTATACATCAAATATTGTTCGAAATATTTAAAAAAAACTATTTTAGAAAGTAAATTTAAACACCCTGTATTTCAGAAGGCACGCATTTTTCGACCCATGTTTATATAGACTTTATGCATTAATTTTAAAAGTTCTATCGAATCTTAAAGTTATGCAACAAATTTTCATCAAACTAAGCAAGAAACGTGATCTAACGTAGTATTTACTCAACATTACGGATTTCTCGAAATACATTAAAATATGTGACCTAGATACCTAACTGCCCCAAGCTCTTTAAATATAACACCTTAAACCAGGGTTACCAGGTGCTCAGTCACGTTGATTGTCATGTTGTACTGCACAAGTCAGCAAACAATCTGGCGTAATAAACGTTAGGAATCGTTAGGTATTGCCAGATTCCCGAATAGCGTGCACCATAGTAACCGTTATAGTTGTCAAATCGCCCCTATGGCGCAACTGCGCCACACCAGGCAACTGTGCTATAAACAAACCCTGTTTATCACTACTATTTGATAGTCATATGGTAGTTGTAGCCCTATCTAGCGGTCCATGATTTCTCTCAATACTAATTGTATCTCTACTGGCAACAAGAATAGGGATTACAAAATCATTTATACAACAATATACAAACATGAAAAATATGATTTGAACCATGAAACATTAATACAATTTTAATAGTTTGAATCTTTTTCATTTTGGAATACTCTTATGTGGAATCCGCAGCTATTTTTCCCGAAATTTGGGTAGACTTAGATTTCTTAGAAATATGGCATATTGGTATCGGCAACTCTGCGAATGGGAGAAACAAATCGCATTTGTTGAGCGCATCCATCTAAGCGATAGGCGCCAGCGCCCGTTCTGCCATCTCTCTCTTTTATCACTCTTCTACTTTACTCCGTTGTCCGTCACACTCTGACGCTGCCAGATAAGATCCTACAATCGAGTGTCTTTCACGCACCTACATACTTTTGAATATTTCAATCTCTCTTCCTCATCATAATGTATAATAATGGTTTTTCCCAAGGTGTATGTATACATTCTTTGCCTATAAAAGAAGGAGTTTTATCGGCACCAGGAGTCATTTTGTCTTTCAGTTTTTTGTTTTGACCCAAAAATGACCTCATTCTCAGTAATTCCTCTTAAAGGTGGCATATCACAAACACTGCTATTCTCAATATATTGTGGTCTACAGAGTGTTGTTCCATCGTGAGTCGGAATGTGCTGAGTCGCTGTTTATTTTTTTTAGATCATTAATATAGAGATCAATTGTTGCTCTTAAAGTTTCCTTTATATGAGCTCGCATGAATTTGTACTCTTCTAAACCTTTAACCATATCGACGGTATTTCCGCAACAGCATTATTTGCATTTTATTTTTTTGATGGTATTAGAAACTTTGCATCATGGAAAATTGCTCTTGAAATTTCTATATAATCTGGAATCTATCTATATCTATAGGATGTGATATTCCACAATGAAGCGTATAAAAATAGTAGCAGTAGTCCAGAGTCAACTCCTGAAAGGTCCAGACGATATTTCGTGGACAAAACGCCATCTCCTCAAAAAGGATCATCTTTCGTTTCTGCCGTTATTAACGCCATCAAAAACGCAGCTCAATCGCCGTTCACCAGAGACGTCAGCAAGGATACTATTTCAACGGAAAGGTCCAGGTTAGTATTGATTCCTCAAAATGAATTTTCTAGAACAATTTAAAAATACCGAAGCGTAGTTAACAACGCCAAGGCACTCCTCTTAGTGATGCGCTTCCTTGTGTTGCCCTCCATTTTCTTTCTTTTTCACTTTTTTTCTTGACTGCCTGTGGCTTGGGCAACCAGATCCGATAGACCTACTGACCTCCAAGACTTTAAATGAATCCAAAATTGCTTTTGACGTTCACGAATAACGGGATAAATATTTATGAAGGTTCATAGTGCAAAGCTTTGATATTACCTCAGAGATGAGTTTTGGGCTTTGAAACCACATATATGGTACTCGAAATGTTACTGTAATGTAAAATGCGGTGACTATATTTAATCCTAAAAATCTTCAAAAGGTATAGTGAAACAAGTAGGGTAGGTGTCATGTCCTGTTCTATTTCTGGAATCAATTAATATTCTCGTAAATTGCAAATAATATTATCTACGACAGTACTCTTTTCCAGTTCAAATGAAATGCTGGACTCTGAAACCGAGCCTTGCCTCATGATGGAACATGTGTTGGAAGACGTGGTAATTCCAGACGGCCATTCTCACAACTTGATCTCATCTGGACATGGCAGTTTACTTAGCTCCCGGCTAACTCACAGCGAAAGTCTCAAGGATCTCTCACAAGCCCTGTTCAGCAGGCAGATGTACTGAAAGGGCCAGTACTAGCTTTTGTGGTACGTATCTTTGAGAATTATACACAATCTTTACGAACTGTCATCCGGTCATGGCAGCGTTCTCAGTTCTATGAGACCGTTTTATTACAGGTAGTCTGAATACTTCGTTCACATCTGCTGATGCCACATCTTTAACGCACGATTATTTCCCATCGTTAGTAGACCAGGTGATAGATGTCGACAATTTAATCACTCGTCTGTTAAAGACGATTCGGATTATTCAAATAGAAAATGACGAATGTATGCAGGAATTGCAAGATCAGAGAGATGGTTTGCTGGAGCAGATCGAGAAGCAGAAAGAGACGAATAAGGTAAGGTATTACTTTTTTCTTTCCACCCCTTTCTTTTTCCCTGCACATTTTTTAGCTTTTGAACCGCCTGACATGACAGACTGACGACAGAAATTGACTTTCGGTCATTGAGACGTGGCTAAACGTCCACTGGATTAACTTGGAAGGCAACGAAGTTTAGTAAGACATGAATTGTTCTTGTTAGACTGTTTTGTAGAAAAAAACAAACCGGTATAAAGGAGGTATCAATACGGATACAAGAGGCACGGTTTGTACTGTGTTAAAAAATCATGATCAATGTTTGCATTTTCACGTTGATGACACCGTCTCATACGTAATGCCTAAAACTAAATTTTCTAGTTCCTCATTGATACAACGCTTATTAGACTAAAATATCCAGTTTTGTATGTCCTATGTGAAATATGTGGCGTTTTTTGTGTTTAAGGTTGTGGTAATACAGTTGAAGGATTGGGAGATACTTGGTGAAAGGCTCAAGGCTGAAGTTAAAGAACTGATGATTCAAATGAATAGAAAAAATTTGGAAATTGATAATCTAAAAGCTGAACTGAATAAGCATAGGGAGGAAGTTGAAGTAAGTTTGAATTTGATTTGATAAGCTTAGCCTATGGCATATATCGTAGTTATATTGTTGATTGCAATAAATTGTGCAAAGCTTTTGTGTCCTGTGAATGGGTATCTCGTGTTTAGTAATATTCCATGTTGATATTTTGGGCGTTAAAGTTTATTTTAATTTTTTTTTTCTAGAAACTGAACCAAGATGTCTGTGAATTGTCTACTGCTCTAGCAAAGTCTGAACACGAAACGAAAATGAAAGAGGAAGAAGTTTTGGAAGAAATGAAGAAATGGGAAAGAACTGGCGATATGCCATCGCCTGATATTTTGGGGCGATTGGTCGTCTCACAAAATGAGGTGTGTTGATAATAATCGAAATAAGACAGCACAAAGTACCATCTATCATTTAACCAAATAAGTTCGTGCTGTTTTTAGTAGAAAAGTATAAATTTTTATTGAGAAACAATAAGACACTATTTATCCGTCGAAGTAATTACCATCACATTCAATGACCTTTTGCCAACGTGGAACCAATTCTTGTATGCCGGTATTGTAGAACTCCCTGGATTTGGAGTCAAAAAATTGGCGGACTGCATTTATTACACCACCTCGAGTTGTGAACTGTCGGTGCCTCATACAGTTGTCAAAAGACAAAAAAAGGTGATAATCACTTTGCGAAATGTTGGGAGAATATGGCGGGTGTGGTAACGTTTCCCAGCCGAGTTCATAAATTTTTTCTCGGGTCACTTTTGTGGTATGAGGCTTGGCGTTATCCTGCAAGAACATCACATTCTTCCGATTGATCAAAGAAGGCTGTTTTTGGATGAGTGCTGCTTGTACTCGTTGAAGCTGCTCACAATACAAGTTAGCAGTGATGGTTTGATCCCTTTCCAAAAACTCATAATGGACAATTCCAGTTGCTGTCCACCAAACACACAACAAAACTTTATTTGGGTGCAAGGAAGCCTTGGGCGTGTGTGGTACCGAATCAGTAGGCGACAACCAATAATACGAACGCTTAGAATTCGAATACAAGATCCATTTTTCGTCGCATGTTAGTAACCGATTAAGAAATGGTTCATTAGCGTTGCGTGAAATGTTTGCTGAACAAATGGTAAGACGACTTAATTTGTTATCATTTGTCAGTGCATGTGGGACCCATTTGCTTAACTTCCACGTCTTTCCTAGCTCATGAAGATGCAAACGAATAGTTTCAGGACTCACTCTGAACATTTCTGCAAGTTATTGGCATGTTGTCCTGGAATTTGCGTCCACAACCTGTCGAAGATCGTCGTTGTTCATGATTTTTGGTCTCCCTGAGCGCGGTTCATCGCTCAAACTGAGATCTCCCGAAGAATATTTTTTGAACAGTGGTGTTCGATGACTAACGGCATCATCTCCTAATGCGGTACATATTTTTCGCACCGCCGCTGCAGCTTTTGTACGAAGTTTGTACTCATACAGTAAACAACTTGGAATTACTGTTTTATTCGTCGCCATTTTCAATTATTAAAACTAGGTATGTAACAATTTTCAGCAATTTTTTATGTGTGTGAGAAAAGAAGGATTAATACTAAAGTGACAACAGGTAACAAACAATCGCCATCGATCAACAACATCCATGGCAATGTGCGATATACAGCAACCGCACGAACTTATTTGGTTACCTGATAATACCAGGATCTACCACTGCGAGAGTGGAACAGCAAGCTGTCTGTTGGAAGTGTATCTCAGTTCGCATTTCGTCCGTCTGACCACAGACGGCTAACCATCGACAGCCAGATTATTAGTTTTTCAATGGCGAGTAGACCGCTTCTAGCAGCCATAGCGGTGACTGAGGTATCAAACACGAACAGATACAGCTCCCACAGGAGCTTGCTATTTCACTCTCTTAGTGGTCGATTCGGGTAACAGGCGCCGCTTTGTGCTATACCTGATACATGACCATGCTGACGAGTTTCAAAAACCACGAAACAGCTGTCCATGGTTGGCCTCGTATGGTCGGATGATCTAGTAGCTAATATTTTTCCAAGGATCGCAAATCACAAAGTGTAGATCCAAGTTTTATTAGAAAGATAAAAGTGTTGTGATCAGAGGGTTCAGCTTCTAGTTAGAATGATACATTTGTAACACAGAAAGTAAAGCAATGAAATAATTACGGCGGTATATTCGTTACCAATGATACATTTTCCGGATTCTAAATTAAATTTGGTGTTTTCAGGTACCATTTCTGAAGGACAAACTGGCAGCAAAGGAGAAACACTTAAAAGAACTGACCCAGGAGTTTTTGGCAAGCAGACAGGTCCTTTCTGAAAGTTTAAAGGATGCCTTAAATGAATCCAAAAAGCAATACGAAGCAATCGATAATGCTTTGGAGGTAAGTAGGCACAAAAGCAATATCTGATACGTGTTCTTGTCTAATTCTCCTCTTTTTACTGAGAATGTTTCCCACAATTTTTGATAATGTTTTATGTGCAAGAAGACGTTTCAGGATTTTAAGTAAACTACGTTCATCAAGTCAGGGTGTCCTGTAGGTCTTTCCTTCATGGTTGAAGTCTAGTAAGTCAGTAGGTTGTTCAAAGTCATGAAGAAAGAAAGGAAGAAAGAGGGAGAGTAAAGATGAGGAAGTGTATCTGTTAGAAGGGCGCCTTAGTAAGGATAAGTTAAATAGGTTTCAGACATTTTAAAATTGATCTGTAATATATGTATAACAGAATCACTCAAAACAGCTAAACGTAGATATAAATCTGGAAATAAAGGTGATATAAGCAACTACCGGTCAATATCACTTATATCAGGTATATCAAAAATCTTTGAAAAATACTTGAAAAACTATTACAAAAATTTTCATCCAACACAACTTATTCTCTGATAGACAGTATGGCTTTCAGTCAGGTAGGTCAACGCATGATGCCATAGCTCATTTAACACATCTCAGCAATAATCCAATTGGTGATGCAAAGCCTGGAATATATTTTTTTTAAACTGCTAGCGTTTAACACTGTCGATCATCAAGAGTTGGTTAAGACACTTGAAAATATAGGTATTAGAGATATATCTCTGGCATATACCATGCTCTGTTTAAAAGCTATGTATCAAAACGACGTTAAAAAGGTATTATAGAATATACAATTCTTATACTAAATTGAAAAAAGGTCAAATTTGTACCATTCACCTCATATACTTGAAATCTCCCAAAATACAGTTTACTAACCATATTCAAGAACATTGAGCTACTTAAAATAAATTGTGAAAGAAGTATTAAAGATTTAGGAATGCATATGGATTGCCATTTCAGATGGGATGAACAAGTTAAAAATCTAATGAACAAGCTTCGATACTTTATAACAAAATTTAAAATTCTAAAGGGATTTCACAATTTACAACTGAAGTTTATATAATATGCTTTAGTGTCACCTAGTATATGAAATTGTTGGATGGGGCATAGCATCAAATAGCTATATAAAGTAAGTTGAGATAACCCAAAAATGGTTGTTAAAAGGTATCATGCGCAAAAAAATATCTTTACCCATCTGACGAGCTATATAAAGAATTTGGAGTTATTGATGAGAAACAATTATACTTTCGTTGTTGAGCACTTTATCAACACAAACACAATAGACAGTATGTCAGTCATGCGTATAATACTAGAAGTACCGAAACTGCTTATGATTATCTTGCGCCCAAAATACTTAATCAGCATCTGCAAAATCTCAAAGAAATTATGTCATGTCTAAAGATTTGACATGAAAGACTTCTGTTTAAATGGCCTCATGAACAACCAAGAATGGAAGTCTATGAACTGCTTAATTTAGGACTGCCAAAGTAATCCTCAATCTTCTAATAAATATCATGTGTATCATGTATTATAAACTTATGTAAACATTGTTAAGACATGTTATTACATGTTTAATATCTTGTAAATTGTATTGTTAATAATATTATAGTAACCCCGCGCAAAGCTTAGCCTTTTGCTGGTACCAAGCGGTTATTCTATGTACTTTTAAAATAAATGTTATTTGTGGTTTTTCTTTTACATAGTTAATATTAGTAATGTCTTTCACTTTGTTAGCATCAAAACTTTCAACTTCAAAACATATCCATGAATGATCACTGATATTATAGGAGTATAATTTTTGCAATTAAATTTTGTTCGCTCGTTATTATTATAATATTGAAATTTTCTTTTTTGTTTCCAGGTACTGCACAGTATCCAGTCGGTAGTCCAGCAGTGTGCTCCTCTGTCGAAACTTCAACGAGAACTAGAAGAAGTGAGTTTCCAAAGCGCTTCTGCGCTGCCTGTCGTTCCACAGGCACCGTCTGACTGCAACGCGAATGCAGCGCTTTTGCAGGCCGTCGCCAATTTGAAAATCAGTGCCACGATTAACACTTCCGCTTAACGATAACATTCATGTAATTGAAGTTTTTTTCGATAAGGATAGGATGATGCTAAAAGAGAATAATTTGTATGTGGTATCCATAAAATTCTTTTTAATTTGATAGACTGATGTACACCATTTAGTAAGGAATATTTCATAGTTCAAATGGCCAAAAACGCCTGCATCGTTGACACAAAATCCGCACCAAACAGCTTTTTGTGTAATGCATTGCCATACGAGGGGTGGATTTAGGAATCTGTCTAGGGAGAGGGCACGGTGATAGTCACAGGATTCATGTTCAGAAAGATGTTCGTCTCCGTGAACGGAGATGCATGCTTGAGCAATTAAACAAATGCCCTTGTGACAGTTGAAGAGCATGGGGTGGGGATACGTCTTTGAAGTGGCGCACGACTCAGGTCTAGCAAGGTCACGTTCAGACCAAGATACAAAAATATACAATATTGTTGAAAAAATGACAAACTTGGTCGTCTAGGGGGGAGCGCAGATAGCGCCCCCTATACATCCGCCATATAGATATTACATACGAGTGTCACCAACGGTTTGACAACTATTCTACCAATTACTACGGCCGCCCTCAGTATTGTGTCCCAGGAGGGTGCGTACAAATATACTAATATCCTACTAAAATGTCTAGTACAATTTTCCATGTAGTTCAATGACAATAAAAAGACGTAGGTTTTATCAGAACTAGTAGTGCACTATTTGAGCTGTTCGTGAAAAAACATTTCTCCAGATTGCAGCAATGAGCGTGCCCGTACATAGGCGCCTAATTTTTTGAAGCTCTGGTATAAAACTGCTTAACACAAAGTTTGGTAACTACAACCTCCAACAATTTCTCACCCCAAAAATGTTTTAAAATTTGTACACTTATCAATTTAATGCCGAGGAAGGTGTTTTAGGATAACAAAAATTAATTTCTCGATGGCCTCAAAATGACCTGTAAAGGAATCGACACTATCTCTAATTGTGATCAAATGAAGTCTTCCTATAACTTTTCATATCACTTACTATTAAATGCTAAATCTTGGACCTTACAACTAAAAAAATTCATACAGAAACGATATAGACTATACTTGAAGTAAGTGTAAGTAGGTGCTCGCAGATCTTTGTTAATAAGTCATGATCTGCGAGCACTCTGGAAGTAAATATAACTGAGATCATCAGCCAAATTTAGCCTGATGCAATAATTGAAAATTGAAACTGTAACCCATGCCAGTATACAAAGTCATGACAGGCACTTGACCCATGTTATATTCCATACAAATTGCCATGTGCTATGTTTAAATAAAAAAGCATTACATAATATCAAAAAGTAATTCTTATTGAAAAAACCCTTCGCTTCCATGTCTAGGTTTATGAAAAGTGTGTTAGATATATAATACATACAGGGTACATCACAAAGGTACAATATTCTTCAGATTATAAATACACTATTAAATATGAATGCATGTCTTAAACCTTAGTGACAATAAGTTTGACAAATTAAAAATAGCACAACCGTTTTTGCACCTTTAACACCAGTCAACAAATACTCACACCATTTTTGAAAACACAACAGATTTCACATTGTGTATCACACTACCATATGTACACAAAACGAATAAGATTTTTCCCAAATGTTACACTGGTAATAAGAATCAAAATATAGTATATATATAGTACTGTAATCTTTAAACTGTGATGTTATTATGAAAATTCTAGAATGAGAAAAGATTTAACACGATATTAATGCTAGAATCTCACTTATTTCGTTTAGAAAAAATGAAAACTTTGTGTTCCTTATGACAAAATTATCCATTATTGCTTTAATGGCAATGATTGTCTTCTAATTTTTACATAATACTCATCAATGTTGTAATCTTCATTTTTTTTCATATTTTGTCTTAAACAGTTGTGATTAACAAAAAATATTAATTTAAGATGCA